GAGGTGCAAGATATCTGAGCGTGTAATGTTAATTTTACCTGTGATCCTTTGAATAAATCAGCACTGTTTTGAAGTTACTTGGACTGCCTCGTCTCTCAGAGTTAGCATGGTAACAAGAACTGGTTAGCGCAACAGAACTAAAGGTATGAGAAGTAACTAAAGCTTGTAAAGTAACTAAGTAAAGTCTATAAGACTCAAATCTTACACTTACTCTGTCCAAAAGTGGCCTGACTTTCCAAAGAATGTCTTTATTTCTTGTTTCCTCTGTTGCATCCAGGTCCTTTTTGTTTCCTCTGTTGCATCCAGGTCATTTACAATCTTCACTGAGTTTCTCAACTTGAAAAACCTGTCCCTTGTCATTTTCTGGCTTATTATTGCCACTTTGGTCTTGCTGGCCCTAAATATTTTGATTCTGGGAAATTTTGGCATTTTGGATTGACATGCCAAAGAAGATCCTCATTTCTTTGGAAGTGGTGTTAAGGGAGACACTCCTCATCTGTAGCGCTCTCTCTGATTTGTGCATGCTGCCAAGTCTTCAAAGACTTTGTCATCAATGTACTGTGAAAAGTAATGAATAGGACTCCAGTTTCTATGAACGGTGGGGTCCTCTTGACAGTCAGGAGGCCTGGGTAGCACAGGTTTGAATCTTTGATGGGGAAAAAACAATCAATGAGGTAATGAACACAGTATCTTTTTTATCTATCCATTGATCTATCATACGTGCTGGTCTTGGCCCACAGAGGACGATGGTTTTCCTGTTCATCTCTTCTTCTGAGCTTTCTCTCTCTTCTTATCATTTTCTTCATCTTACAATTCCAGATCTGAATCTCCCTCAACTATTCAGTACAAAATTCTCTGCCTCGGTTCTGCCTCTGTTACCGGCGCCAGCCCTAGGGGAAGCTGGGCAGTAGCAAGTGGCACACAGTCAGTGTGGTACTGTGTTGCCTAAATGTGGGTGTTCAACTATGGCTGTGGATAAGGAGAGAGGACATGTTAACCAGGCCATAGCTTGTTTAATTCTGAGCCCGTGCCTGCACTTAATCTCTCCTGTCTCCACAGTTGCGCCACAGCACCATCTATCAGTCCGGAGGTGTATAGTGTACACAAACTTCATGAAAAACACAGTGATAAAACAAAAAAATATATAGGGGGTGTCTGTTTAAATGTAAAACTTAAAATGTAG